GAGTTTGCACTCAGCTTCTTATATGTTAGCAATCAGAATGAAGAACTTGTACTTTCATGTATTTTGACTGAATTTTAACCAGGTGTCCAATCATATTTTTCCTCTTTTTTTTTTTTTTTTTTTTTTTCTGAGGTTTCTAAAAATTATTGTTTTTTTTTGAATTCTTGAGGGAAATGATTTATTTGTTAATACTGTTTCTCAGCAGCCAGTGGAAACTTGAATGTATACAGACCCATTGCAGCTGCGCTGGTCATTTCTGAAGGTCAGGACATCTTTCAATATGACTTTCTGAAAATTCTGATTTTTAAAATTTTATCTGTCATCTTGTGCTGTAGAATTTTTTCTTTTTCAGATGAGAACAGAAATAAGATGGGAAGATAAATAGGGAAACTGGTTTGAAAATTACAGGTGGATTAATTACTTTTCTGTATTCTTTAATTGGAATATTTAGGTGTATCCGATATTCAAGACAATTAGAAGACAAAGAACATAAAGTGTTAAGGCACAAGGCATGCACTGCTTATGTACAAATGGTGTATCCTTTGAGTGTTTTTGCACTTCTGTTTCTGACACAGCCTCTGTCTCTGCAAATCTCTGTTTTAGTTCTCTCTTGTTGGTATGCATGCACCAACATCTTCCTGATTGGCATGTTGGGTCACAGGGATAAAAAGGACTTGGTACCTCAAAATATGCCATGTGACTGATGGCTAAGAGGAGTTGTTCATATTTCCTACCAAGAGAGTCTGAATTGCTTCAATATGCCATAATGGGATGGTAAAAAAGGAGAGAAAGGTGATGTTACAACTGTGATTAACACAAATCGTCTACAATGTCTACACAGTGTCTACACAGAAACTTTTTTCTAAGAGAGGAAGAGACCAAACACAAGCAGTAACTCATGATAGATGAGAACATCAGGCATGGACATTATTTATTGGTGATGCAGAAGATAATGAGCGCTAGCACTAGAAGAGCTCAGAATGGGAGGCCGCCTATTGGTGATGCTAATTAACTGTTGCCTCCCTCTGTGCTGATGGTCTCTGCCTTAATGGGCTGCATCACACAGCAACACTTAACTTATTTTTTTAAAGTATTTCCTGGAGCATTTACATTGCCTTTTTAAATTGCCATCATTATCTCTGTCATTTGGAAGTCAGATATGAGATAATTGTGGGGGGAAAAATGTTCTCTCCTAAGAAAACTATGCCTTATAGGTGGTACACAAGTTCTATGTTAAATGCATAAAAATAGCAGATATCTTTAGGAGAAAGTAGCAGATTTATATATTTACAGTCAGTCATCTGTATTTCAGTCTATCAGATGCACTACAGTAAAAGATAAAAATTTAAATGTGAACAATTTTTTTTGTATACACTTTTAAAAATATTATTTTATCACACTGTAATATTCTCAAGTTAGTTTTTAAAAGATTGAAGAAGATGCACCTATTAAGTCTGAATGTTCATTAAAAATTTGACTTCTGCTGATTCAGTTTGTAGAAGTAAGTTCAATTCCCTCTTCACATCTGTTAGATTATTTGTCTGGTGCTCCTTATTAAATGAAAGGACCTGATCATTTTATTGTATCAGTTTTGCCAATTTTATTGATTGCTTGGGATTGCTTGGTAAGATAGACTCATTTGAAACTTCTAGTAGATTGTAGATAATGGAAAAAAAAATGAGTAGGAGCTCCTGCTTTGATGCTGGTAAAATGAATAAAGACCTTGGAGAATATAACCCTTGGATGAGCATGACCCCACAAAAATACACATTTGCCAATAAGTGAGTGGTTATATGAGTACAACATTAGTGAAAGGACATGCAAATGTCAGAAACTTCAGACCCAGTTCTGATTTTCACACCAATGAGATGTTGAAAAGCTAGGTGGCTGACAGTAAATGATACAGCATGCTTAAAGGTGACAAGAGACTGAAATAGAGGAAACTACGCTTAACATGAGAAAACTCTTCTTTACTGTGAAGGTGTCTGAACACGAGGTTAAGTTGCCCAGAAAGGTTGTGAAGTCTCATATGGAAAAAGTCAAAAGAGAATATTGCAGCATATGGTTTAAACCTTCAAATCTATGGATGTGTGAATACACCTTAAAGGACTGAGCTGAAGAATCCCTCAGATTGGTTTTTTTTTGTTGTTTGAAAAGAATAAAGCAGGTTAGTGTTGGCAGTAGAGTTTAGCTATCCACAGTAAAACCTCAGCAAATCCAAGCATCATCAACAGCAAAATATAATTTATAGGTGACCAAAGGAAAGAAAGCAAAGAAATAGTTGAAGTGAATTTATTATGCAGGAGAATTTAGTGAAATTGGGACTAACTATGGTGGAGTGAAAGCCATCCTGGTAAGTTTCAAATGTCATGTAGATGGTTATTTCCACAGGCTGGTTTTATTCTGAGTTTATTAGCAAAAGAATAGTAAAATAAAACATTATTTTAGAACTGTTATCAAGTTGAAAATATTGTGTTATCCAATAATTCTACAGGCTGTAACACGCCTTTCTTCAAAGTCAAGGTGTTTTGTCCTTTCACAATCAGTGTCAGAGCATAAAGAAAAATCCAATATCACAGCATGGGATATTGATCTAGAGTTCCAGACACTAGATTACAAATCCTATCTCATTTTTCACAAAGTTTTCTTTCTAAAACTACATGGATGAAACTATCTAAAAGATTGGATAGCACTAATTTCAAATGAAGTGCAAATATCTTTTTCCTTTTTTTTTTAATATAAAAAACATGTTTTTTTTTCCCTAGGCAGATAAAAAAGATCATCTCAGAAATGAAAACCAGAAGAAAGAAGCTAGAGAAGAAAAGTACATCCCTTTTTTTATTGGTGAGGAAGGAACTTGTTTAAATATAGAACACAGCAGTGAGGTTACATCTTGTTGCTGTGTCTCAGTTGCTATCTTCAGAAACAGAACAAAGGCCTAATTTCATTAAATGAAATTTCAAATATTTAAGGCCTTATTAAGACCTTGTAAAGTTCTCATATTAACACACTGCACAAAGCACATCATCTCTCCCTGAATTGCACAGGAAATAGTTTATAATAGTTTAACGTTAAGTTTCTTGACTTATAGTGAGAAATATAAGACCTCCTGCTCCAAGACATTTACCTGCTCTAAAACTAAATGAATTCCCACTGACCACCATCTTGAGAAATGATACAAAACTATGAAGAAATCTGCTTAAAATAGTTTAGCACACTTTCTATAAAGTAATGTATCTGAAAAACACTATGCATCTAATTTCTAATTCTATGCAGTTATCTCTGCAGGCTGTTCTTTAGCTAGAGCAGTACACAGAAGGGTACTGGCTCCACACATCTTGTCCCCTAAGTTTCACCAGGCAAATATTTTTTTCCATTTTTACCATCTTCCTCTGTCTTCTGTCCCTGGATCACAATATACATACCATGAGGAACTGAGTATTTCAGGTACTTCCCCAAAACATGATCTTTGTGTAATCAGTCAAGTGGGAGTGCTGCAGGTTGGTGAGGAAATCAGGATCAGCCACAGTGAAATAAAAGAAAATATATGGTGGAAATGTTGTGTCTGCCATTTAGAGGAAACGAAGAGCTAGAACACATTTCTAAAATGGAGAATTCAACAGTGCTGTTACGTCTATTAAAGGCAAAAGTTGGTTCCCCATGCCCTGAGGATGCCATCCAAGCACGGGGGTATAAACCAGAACAGTGGTAGCATTTCATATCATCCTTTCCTCTACTTCATTTTGGAAGATCAGACTATAGCCCGGTCTTGTGTGAATTTAGGTCTCTGCCATTCATATAATAGTGGACTCAATTAGCTGTTGCTGATCGGGAAAGAAATCTTATGAGTCATTTTGAGTGATCTTCTGAACACCTGCATGCAGGGCTCATGAGCGTTCAAATTGGCAATGTGAAACTGAGAAGTTACACAATAGCATCTATAAAATCATGGCCAGCAGGAAGAAGAGAGTAAAAATACTCATTATTCCTTATTGAGTTGTCATAGTTGTATCATCTTGTTCAAATGTCATAATTACTGAAGGGTCATAATCAGTTCCTTTTTTTTTTTTTTCTTTTTTTTTGCGTGATATAAAAAATTCACGCCCAAATAAAATCTACCAGATGTGCTTTGTATACAGATCTTTGCTGGCACAGGACTAGTAGCCATTTAAGCTGGCAAATTATTTTAGCCTTCAGGACAGGATGACCTCTTTGCAAACTGCCGATGGGGCACGATCCTGGCCTGAAATGTTTCAGCCCAAACCCTGCCTGGAGTCACCTAGAAGCAGGCTGGTCAACATGGGCCAGCCCACCGGTCTGTGAAGTCAGACCCTGCACTGCCAAACAGTTTAACAGCATGGATAAACTCCTTCCAGGGCCTGGGAATGACCCCGGGCTCTTGTTTAAATTACTATGAGAGAGCTTGGGAAATCGCCTCATCTTATACTACCATGAGGGGTAAAGGAGAAGCTTCCCTTAGCTCCCTCTGTCATCCAGGTGTATTCGGTGCCAGACGGGCTCCTGACCTGGTCTGCACAGCTTTTTTTTTTTTAAAGCTGGCCTGCAAATATAAGGCATGCCATGTTAATGAACAGGTACTATGATTAGAATACAATGTTGCAAATAGTCAAGAAACATGATTATTTTTATTAAATAATTACAATAAATATACAGATATTATGTAATAATAATGCTAGTTACTGTAAAGTACTACTAATGAACATTCGAGTCTACTGGAGAAAAATACATTTTACTTATTTTGGCTAATGCTGTGCTAATAAGATTTGCTGCTTTATATCCTTAGACCATCATGGCTACAATAACATTACGACTGCTAAAAATATTTACAGTCAAGTTTGCTCGTTTAATTCTTAGGCTGTAAAAACCTAAAACAGCTCTAAAAATATTAGGGTAATTGTCGGGAAATATAATATTCTGCTTGTGAACTTCTTTCTGTTCTATGTACAGAAGAAATAACTTATTAAGAGATTAATTCATTAAGTAAATTCTGTCAAAGCTAATGAACTCATGACTAAAGCTATAAACCACGGCTTTAGGTTTAATTGAATGTATTTCTGATTGGTTGTTTGAGTGTTTTAAAATATTAAAATATTAAACTCAAAATATTGTCACAATATATTTCAAACTTGTTAGACTGTTGTATGGAAGCAGGTCAGACTACTCAGGACCTGACATGCCATAATAAAAGTCTACTAGGATAATCCATTTGCCTTTCTGGAATGTATTTTATGTCAAATTCTGACATTTTTCCTTCTGAGTTAAATAATGCTGCTGTGTAATGCAACACAGTGAGTGCAATTCTCTACTGAGTTTGCCTGTATATCATGCTATTTAAAATTTTGATAAAAAGCCTTTGTCTTGGGATATTGAAGATTGGTTTAAATTTTGTTGCTGACTATAAGGACATTCTGCTAAGGTAATATAAAATTAAATATTAAATCTCTATGACACTTAGTGCAGTTTTTGACAGAAAAATGAAAATATTAAGGTACTTCTACTATGTCTGGTTACATATTCTGTAGATACAAGTGATTTCATATTTAGCTGTAACACATTGATAAAACTCAATAACACTATTTCGATTTATAACTCACGTGGATTTGACCTTCAATCTTTATTATGCAGACCATGGCAGAAACAAACAATTCACATGGAAAGCATACTTTGTCACACAGGTTTTATCTGTGGGAATAAGAAATACAATGTGGCTTCAGAAAAAGCAAACCATCCTATACAGCTGTATTTTAGAATACACAGAGATTCAAAGCACTGTTTTCATCAGGTAACTACTGATGTTTTATTTACAAAGCAAACAACAATGACTAGAAAATAGCATTGCACCACAAATTATCTACATGGATATTTCTATTTTTCATATTAGAAAATAGTAAAGACGGACTTAAGTTCAATGTTTCTTTTTTTTATGTGTTTTAGTGGCTAATACAAAATAGAGATGAAGACAGTATTACATCAGTAAGAAAAGCGAGCACATGGACTTGGTTAAGAAAAATATTTCCTAGCAAAATGTAACTTTTCTTTAAAAGGTCTAATGTGTTGTCTGCCCAAGCGCACTTCATATAGGGACCATTGATGACTTACATTTCATACAGTCCCTTACATATTGAAGGATCCTAAAGTGCTTTAAAAAAAAAATTACATAACTTCAAAATGTTGCTGATTGCACAGCTGCAACATGAGAAATTAAGTTAATGAGAATTCATTAATATCTTACTGTGGCTCTGAGAGCTTAAACCTATATTTCTACTCACACTGGAATTTACATTAATAGAATCAATTTTGTTTTAGAGTTCATTCTCCAGTTTATAACAACACGGCCTGGAGCAAACCTCTTCACTTACTCTTACCTCCTTTAAAAGAGTAGCTGACTGTTTTGACTCTAAAGGTCTTGTTTCTATGCAAGGACTGGAAAAGTATGGTGCAGCTGGGAGGTTTTTTGTTTTTTAATGAAGATTGAAAGAAATATTCTCCTCTGAAACTGTGGAAAGAACAATTCTTGTAAGAGTCCACCACAAAGGTATTGTCCTAGTTGATCTTGTGAAACTTTCGCATATAAGTAATGTACACAGAAAATACCTTTATAAAGAAATTTTAAAGTATTAATCTAGTCCCCAACAATTTCAGCATTAAAAGCTCCCATTTCGTTTTCAAGCTGTAGTTGTCTCTCAGTTTTTGTTTCCAACCTGTTTAACACTACTGCAAATGCTCAAATCATGTCAAACAGCTACAAGTAGAGCAGCCTTCTGTCGGACTAATGCATTCCTGGAAAACATGGATGTGCAGAACACCGGTGCTTAGAAAGCCCCTGCATCTCTTGGCTCTGCTTGCTACTAAATTTCATGCTTGTGTTATGTGCTATGCAGAGGTGCTGCAGAATTAGTTTTTGAGAGGCTGGAAAAGCAGGCATTTTCCTCTGTGTTTTTGAGGGAAATTGTATGCTATCCCTTCCCACAGCATCTGCACAGACAGGCTGTGCTGCTGGTTTGCAATTGCTTTGAGCTATGCAGCAGGAGGCCCTGTCACGGCAGTGGAGAAGTTTCAGCTTCTTGAAGTTCCAACTGAAAGGAAAGAAATTGCAAATGCAATGAACAGTTACTCGATTTCTTCCCTCCCACAAGATTCTCTGTACATGTGTGCATGTGTGTATATTTGTGTAAGACTTTGGGAGGAATTTGCTTCTCGTTTGAAGCTACTGTGCTGCTGTAGCAAGCCAGACAGCTAGCCCAAATGCTTAGGCAAGCCTATTCTTCTGTTATAAAACTGCAACAGCATAAGAAATGGTTATAAGAAAATGTTTGTGCTTGATTTTCAAAGGCAAAGACACATTAGAGTATCTGAAATGGTGACTGATTTGAATGCGACTGTTTTTTTTCCTTCTAGAAGTGGAACCCACTATTGGTTTCATTAACACATAATGATTTTGCTCTCCGTAGCAATTACAGCAAAGTTACCATTTTAGACGTACATTAATAGCTCTGCTGTGTTCAAATTAGTAAACTGGCTAATGTTTTATTCCAAATTTGGATGGGCATTTAAACTCTAGTGTAAGTTCAGAGATTGAATTAAATCAGACCTGAAACAAATCCTCCTCCCTATCTGCCCATGGTACCCGTGCTAAGTTATCTTCTTACCCCAGTGCAGTAGCACTACAACTATTTGCGTCTGCATATGAGGCACCTCAGACTCATATGAAAGTCCTCAGCCTTTTTGCTGTTTAACAAATGCTGTCCTGCAGCACTAGCATTTGTTGGAGATAGGACTGGAGACTCTGCAGGTAAAAGGTAGCTGTGACACAAGGAGCAGAGCCAAAAAGGAACCTTTGCTGACACAAGAAGGAAAGGTGCTGGACACCAGCAATGGCACAGGGGTGAGGACTTCGGGGCAGCAGGAAGGCAGGCACATTTTCCCACTGTGTTGTTTTCTGAGCACTTTCAGTGGAGTGCAGCCTGTGAGGACAGATCAAAGATTTCTCCACGTGCACGTTCATTTTAAGATGCCATACTTATTTGGGGAGTTTTTAAAAAAATTATTATTATCATGCATTGGAGATGTTCCTCTTAAGTTCTTTTTGGTCAGAAACTGAGCCATGCCTAAATCTGAATGGACTTTTCTTTAGGAGAAATCTCAATTCAGAAATGAATTCCAAAGTTCATATTCACTTACCTTTATAAAGTGAAAACATTTCTATTTGTTGGATTTTTTTGTTGATGATGTCTTTTATTTCAAAGCCATTAAACTTTCTAATTTATTAAGAAAAAAAATGTGATGTTCTATTTCCCATTTATTCATGATTTTAGAATGCCAGAAATGCATGCAGCCTTTGAAGATAACTTGGTTTTAGTCCTCATAGCATAGCTTATTCTTCTTTTCTTTATGAAGTAGTCTGACAAACATATTCTCTTTTCACTGATACCCACCAGTTTCAGAAAGACCCATGCCAACGTAAATAAACTGTGTAAGAAAGGATAGTTTCAAGGATATCCTAACTTTAGCAACAGACAACAATTTATCATTATTATTCAAATACAGTATCATTTACAAAGGAGATATGCCCATTTTCTAATAGCACATAGAAAAGCTGTTCTCTAATAATGTAGGAAGGTGCAAATCTGCCAAGGCTTGGGGATACTGAATCTGCCCTACTTTTGACATGTTTTTACATAGGACCCTGCAACATGGTTTGCAATCTGTGAGACAGCACTGGGAAAATCAAAATTTTAGAAAATGCTTTCTTCAGTTAATTCATCACAAGAGAAACTGACTTTCAAATTTTGCTTGTTTCATCTCAAAAATAATTGTTCTTATAATCCACTCTTTTAATTTCAACTTCTTGGTTGCCAAGACAAGTAATGAGAGCCAAATCTTTCAGGACTCAACATAAATACCAGAACTTCCAGTTACTGCAGAAAACTTACTCAGTTTTTACTTTCAGAATGTGAGGAGGACTTGTAGCTTTCATTAAGAAACTTCAGTGGTTAAGCAGAAAGCATGAGAAACTGAAAATATAAGAAAATGCTACAGAAAATACCTGTAAGTATGCCTGTACAAAATTTGCTTAGTTGCTTGGATACTTTCAGGAGAGCATCTAGTGAAAACTAAAACTGCTCACAAATAAACTAATTCATTTATATGAATTTGATTTCTTAGGTTTCTATTATTATTAATAATCTTTTTTTTTCCTGATTTCTATTATTAATGGCAACAAAATAAAAGGTATTTGGAAAATATATTTTTTAGGAAAAAAAAGAACACTTAGTGTATTTTAAATTAAAAAAATCAATCTTTTTAAATCTAGGAGATAAATTAAAAATGTTTTTCAAAATTCACTTTCAAAATTTTTCATTGGCCTTTGCTATGAATCAGGTTAGTGTCAATGATATGAAAACAACCTGCTCACTTGCAAAAGCTGCTATCTGGTCCTTCATTAGAATTCCCTACCAATATTGGGACACACAGAAAAAAGTTCACAGCAAACAGTTGTACTTTGCAAGCAGTTTTTTTTCAAATTTCTCTCACTTCTATTCTGTTTTTTCTTCTTCATTCAAATGCTTTTATAAGATTGCATATGCTTCTCTGAAAATCAAAGAGAGGCAAGCCTTTAAGCCAATAAGCTTACATAAAGCTGACTGTAGAAAAAATGTAATACATGTATTTTGCTGCAGCAAGATAGTTGCCCACAATATTTTTATAAATGCTCACACTATTAGTGTTTTGAATCAGATGTTACTTCATCTGTCTGAAGGGAGCTTCATGTCTGGAGAAGGTCAGAACTTGTTTTGCTCTTCCAGTTTTTATAAAGGCTGATAAATCAACAATCAAACTCTTAAGTCCGCAGATCATAAAACAGGGTCAAAAGTTATTATCTTTATGCAGAATGGTATGGATGATTTGTGATGCTTCCTCTTACTGCTTTTGCACTGATAGAAAAGACAGCTGATGCTTCCATCAGTGACTACTTATTTGAAGTACTTCAAAAGCGCAAGGCCTAAAGCTGGTGAGCTCCTCCATGCTTTTAGTTCTCACAACTTCAGCAGAAGTAAAGAATTCTCCCTTGGCAAAAAGGCAGCTAGTTGAAAATCTGTTTGATCATCTGTGCTGAGCGGTCCTGCATCCCTACAAATAGAATTCACACCAAATTGTCTCCAAGGCCTTGTCTATACATGAAAGCACTTGGTGGTATACTTAGATCAATACAGAAATACCAGCTAGGCTTTCTTGTGCAGAAACCACTTACTTCTGGAAAGTCTGCTCAGTCAATAGAATTTACTGTAGCTGTTTGAGCAAACAGAAAAATCTTTCATTTCTTTTTTTTTTCTCTCTGAGGGCAAAAGGTGCAATTGCACTATTTTTGCTGCTTAAAAAAAAATAAAATTGGATGTCATATTTTTAAGTACTACCCCCAAAACCCTTTTTAGTGTAGTTAGTCCTACAGCCTTTGTGGTCACCCTGATAGCAAGAAAAAATGTTTCTTTCAGAAAAGTTTGCTGAAATTTTATATTAAATGAAGTTTTTAATATTCGAGTTTGAACATGAAGCACATGTGAATGGGCTCCAATGTATTCCTTTGCAGAGGAGGAAGCCTGCCTGTGCCAGCTGCTCTGCTAGTGCAGGGAGCAAACGCGCAGGTCAGCATGCAGGCAGCAGAGCGGGCATAAAGCAACCAGTGGCAGCAGCAGCCAAAGCAAGAACTGCTGCCATAGGGGTGAGGGAAATGAAATTGGGCTGACTTATGGCCACTTCCAATTCTCTCAAATGCCAAACCACACAGAAAAATCCATCCATTTGGCTATAGGGATGTAAGTTTCCAAGTGCTGTCTTCTCCTACATAGCCTTGGGGAAAACAACTAGCTAGATTTTAGGAACAGCTACAAAAGTTGTCAAAGCTGAGCAGTAAAACAATTTCTTACATTTCTGATTATACCTTTTTTTTTTCCTAAATCCATGCATATTGGCTCTTTAATTTTCTGTCTTAATGTCTCCTGTAGCCTCATTCCTAAGTTTCTGTTTTCTCCTCTTGCACAACTCCTTTCCAAACAGTATCTTGCCCTTCAATTCTTTTCAAACTTGTTTTCTCCTCTTTACTAATTCCAGATCTATTCCCTGAAGATTCATCCCCAATGTTACCTGAAGATTCACCCCCAATTCCCTGCTCCAAGCTGTATGCCTGCCTTGCTCCCTGCTGCCCCACCTCAGTTGTTTGCTCTACCCCTGCCTTGGTTGCCTGCCTCCTTGCTGGCATGGGTTGAAAGGTCTCCGTGGGCAAGTGCACCATGTAGGCTGCATTTGTCCAGTGCAAAGGAGAACAGGACCTTACGTCAGGCAGCCTCCTGGCAGCACCACATTCAGCTTTTCTGAGGACAGATTTTGGAAGGCTGTGCTTTACTAGAAAGATCACAGAGAAGCACAACAAAATGTAGAAAATGTGTGCGTGCACACTACACTGTAAAAGCTACGTCTGCCTGAAATACAGCTAATACAGCTATAGATGTAATCCTGTCTCAAGATACATGCACAAAATTGCCTCCACCGAGGGTTACAAATGCATTCTAGAGAGCGGAATCTGTTCACCAAACATTTACAACACACAGTAAACCCTGTATGTATATACATATATATACACAGATGTTTGTATGCCTGTGTCAAGATTGGCAGTTCTGTTCCACCAACATGTGTGTAAAACTGAGCAAATTTTAAACCATTTCACAGGCCAGTGTGGCATGTATAAAGCAGGTGCTGCTGAAAGGTAACACCAAATGCAGGTGTTTAAGAAACTTCCCCATTTTGTTTTTGGATTGATCCTTTCTCTTTTCTGTTGTGATCACAATTTTGTCTGTTTGGTTACAGTAACATCCTGATACTGGCTTGCTGGCACCAGCCCTTGGCCTCATGAGTGATATGTATGTTATTTTTTCATGAGGATCCATTCACTTTTGCACCTTGAGAGGTAGCAAGCTTGCGGCTGAAGTGGCAGCAGTAAGAAACCTATCCAAGTGTTAAACCTACTGCTGATGCTCAAATGAAACCTTTTAAAGGTGATGTGGCAAGGAATGGACAAAGCTTATGCCTTTCGTTCTTCTTTTTGACAAATTGTGGAAAAGACTCAGAAGCTTTTTATGGTGATTATTTTATGTATGATTTATTTAATTTCAGGAATTTTACCTGTATGTTTTGCTTTATGTCAGACATTTGCTGAGGGATGTAGCTTAAAAACTCTCAAAACTAATCACTGGAACTAGAATGCTGAATGCATTAACAGCTTTCCCAGAAGCTAAGCAAAAAATAGTCTGGACAAAAAAAAAATATTTCCCTTTGTATCTGCTGCGGCACAAAACTTCTACTTCTCAACGGAATGGCACGATTCTCCTTAACATATGTGTGTATGTGTGTATGGATATCTATATATGCATACGTATGTAGAAAGGTGTTCCAAGTAGAGGAAAGTATTCCTATCTGGAAAGTGAAATGAAAGGTGAAAGCATATCTATAATGCTCTAAGTAGTTGTGCTGGTTTAGTTACATATGTAAATGGTGCAAAAGTTTTTTTTTTAACCTATGTTAAAAGGTTAAAAAAAAACCTTTTTTTAACCTATGTTAAAAGGTTAAAAAAAAACCCTTTTTTTTTAACCTATGTTAAAAGGTTATAAAAAAAGGCTGAAATGAACCCTAGCCAACACAGATAAGTATCTGGTACAAGGACTGGACATAGACAGGCCTTTGTCAACTTCTTCAAAATCTTCTAGGAGAACAGGCCTTCTAAGCCTTTTCTGTAAATCATAACGAAACAAAAAGCATATAAGCATACTTCTTTCTGTTTTTAATTAAGAGAATTAATCTTCTCCCACCACTGGGTCCCTCAGAAGATAAGGAGTATGAATAGAGAAATATGTGGTAATTCTCCAAACAGTTCTAAAAGAGTCACCTGTTGCAAACGTCCTGTAATAAAACACTGCCCCTGGTTTGTATGCTGTGTACACAAGCATGCTGGACTCAGCCATGCAAAGTACCTTTGAAAACCCTCAGCTTCTGTGCATCTACTAGAGCTGAGATCAACCAGTATCATGCAGGACTGGGGTCTCTGTGTATGTGCGTGCTGTGGATGCCAGCTACAGAGATAACCCTGAAGGCGTTTATGCCTTCAAATAGCTACAAATCAGTATAAACTGTAACTTCAGAATGTGTGTCATCTCTAAGCGAGAGGCCTGGATCCAGAGATGACATCTCCACTGCTAGTCATACCTGATGGTTAGTCCTATCCACAGTGTTGGCAGTGGAAGCATGGTCACGAGTGTTTTGTCGGACCCGGGTGGAGTTTTGTTGCTCAATGGTGGAGGAAGTGGGGATGCAGAACTCTCTGAAACATCTTTTGAAATTCTCATCTAGAAATGCATATAGGACTGGATTAAGGCAGCTATTTGTATACCCTAGAGCAATACAGAAGTGCCAGGAGACAGTTTGGAAAGTAGTTTCTGGAATGTTGATCAGGGCTTTAATGATGACATAAATGTGGATGGGAGTCCAGCACACAATAAACACTGCCACCACCACCAGAACCATTCTTGTGATCCTCCGCAGGTTCCTGTCCTTCTCTTTGGAGCCAGATAACATGCGAACACTCTTCAGGCGTAAAATCATCAGCCCGTAGCACACGGTTATGATCAGGACCGGCATGATGAAGGCAAAGATGAACACACAGATTTTCAGGAGGTTCTCCCAGTACCAAGCAGGGTGGGAGAATGTAAGTGTGCAGTCTATAGAGCCTAGGGAAAAAAGAAAACAACAGAAAAGACAGGCCAGTTTTTCATTTGCTTTTCTTTAGTCTTTTTTGAGTAATGTTATAGACAAAGGAACATAAATTTACTAACTAAACAGCTAACAAAGTAATTGATGATCTATATTTTGCACAAACACTGACAAAATATAATGTGGCCAAATGTGGCTTTAGTTAGAAAACCAAATATGAAGTAACTTGTGTTTTGCATTTAATTGCTTGGAATTTGGTGTATATTTGATAAAATATCCCAATACACCAATTATCTTCAATGCTGAAAAAAAAAGATGACATAACACTTGAATAACTGCAGAGTTTAGAGATTTTCACCTAAGTTTATGCTGTTACTTCATAGCAGGTCTCTAAGCACTAGAAATCCAAAACTTCTGTGGAAGTATCTTGGGTAAAGCATAAAGCTCCTGTGTGTATTTCAGGACAGGAGTTGATAACGCTGCATAGCTAAAGGACAAGTGCTGATGCTGCCTTCCCTGAAAACTACACAGAAGGGAGAAGTGGGATCATATCCACCTCCAGCAGAAAGTGGATGAAAGTGGCTCCATCGTATGAAAAAAATCTTGTTTAGTGCTGTGTTTAATCAACTAGAGACAGCTGATCTAAGTGAAAACAGCTTTGATTCAAGGGATAAGCCATGCGAAGGTGAGGAGGTGCTCCTTAGAGAAGTAAGCCTCCAAGCTTCCAGAAAGAGATCAAAAGGCAGGCAAAAATCATACACGGTTTTTATTTTTTTGTGCCTAGACAAAAAGATTTGATGATTGTTCTAAAACATCAAAGGCATCTTGTATAGAAAGATGCCTACAATATTACTGACCTTGTCAGGACTTGCAGTTAAATTGTTAAAAGAGTCTATTTTTATTGAAAGATTGGAAGTCAGAAATTAGTTCAAAGCCTCCGTAATACAGAGGAGCTGTGCAGAAAGGAGTTGTTTAACAATGGAAATATTTAATTCATAAATGAAAAGCTGACTTACCGTGCCTGTATTTGGTAGTTGCCATGAACATAACTGGCAGGCCAATAGCAGAAGAAAGAATCCAGTTGCAGACATTGACGATTTTGGCATTTCTTGGAGTACGGAAATCAAGGGCCTTGACTGGGTGGCAAACAGCTACGTAGCGATCCACGCTCATTGTGCAGAGTGTAAAGATACTGGTGAACATATTGTAGTAGTCTATGGATATAACAATCTTACAAAGGATTGTACCAAATGGCCATGTTCCCATCAAGTAATTCACACTCTGGAATGGCAGAGTACTTGTCGCTAGAGCATCTGCCAATGCAAGATTGAAAATATAGATATTGGTGGCAGTCTTCATTTTCGTGTACCTAGAAAAATCAGCAAAGCATATAAATGACCACATCTAATCATATTAAACAAAATCAAGACCAATGCAATGTCTATAAAAAATAAATGAAAAAAAAACCATGCTGGACATTACCACAGATCATCTTTTTTTGCTATTCATCTATTAACCAAACAAATAATCTTGATATGGTTTATCTGCAATAATGTTTACAATTCTGAAAGATGAGGTAAAGGGTATAAGAAGGAAAGAGGGTATTCATTTAACTTTTACAGGAAGATGTTTGTAAAAGAAGCAATATTATACCATAGGACTGAGAAACAAGCTAAACCAACTTGTATTTGTAAATGCCTGACACTATATTAACTGGATAGATTTTCTGTATCTGCTGATGTCACGTCAATTATCAGAATTGTGGTTTGTGGAAATGGAGAGCTCATTAACAGGTTGTAGAGTAATAATGATGTAGTTCCTAAGAGAATAATAACTTGAAAGATTAGGGTAATTATCACATCCAGTATGGCTAAAAAATAAAGCTTTTAACATTTTTTTTTCATTTGGTTGTAATTATAAAAAGTTCAAAACTATCTTTTTGAAATAATCTGTGAAGACTTTTTACATGGCTTTATTGATCTGTCTTATACACGCCAGACAGATATTCTTTCAATCAAAGGCAGATATTCTTTCAATTGAAGGCAGACGCTGTAAAACAATATCTAAGATTGATTCAATATCCAATATTGATTCAATATCTATTGAATCAACAGTAATAATATTGAATGTATACGAACATTGAATGTAACAACAGAACCACCACCTTGGGTTGGATGCTGCAACCATGTTCTTTGAGGCAGTAATGCATGCTCCCACACTGTCTAATATGGTAGGAGTGTCTTCAAACTAACTCCTTTATAAGGACTTTGCTTAACTCCTTGCTAAGTCTCTGCCACTAACTACCCCAAAATAATTTCTAAATTTCAAGTATGTCATACCTCACTGAGAGCTGAGCAAGGACGGCTTTATGTTTTAATTTGTGTTTGCACTGCTAAAGGTAGAATCTCAATTTCTTCTTAGTTTCCTTAACTTTTCTGAACTGCCCTTTACAGATTGAAGTCCTTGTGCCATCTGCACAGCACTTGAGAACCCCCGTTTATGAGGAGGCTGTGCTTTTGCAATGGTACAATGAGTGTTTCACTCTAAAGTGATGGTCCTGGCTACTCTGCTCTGCCATCCTGACTGCTGCCCAGGTTGCTGGGCTCTGTGTCTCTCTGGCTTTCAGGGGGTCAGACAACTTGTTCTTTTGAAGAAACTCCCTTGTATTTCTTCAAAGTAGCAACCACAGTGTTTGACTAAACGCCTTCCAATTTATAGACTGATTTGCTAGAGAAACAATCCATTTAAGAAGGTCTTTCTGGTAACCTGCTGGGAAAAATATAAGATGTGTAAAATAAAATACTTCATGTGTCTTCTACCTTTAAATGTTTGATAACTTCTTGCTAAGCTCTTCAGAACGCGAGTCAGGTGCAAGGGGCTGATGACAGGTTTATACAGGGCACACACTTCACACTTGGTATCATTTAGGTAGGGCCTGGAGAAATACAGACTGATTGCTGAATCACAGAATGGCTGAGGTTGGAAGGGACCTCTAGAGATCACCTAGTTCAGCCCCCCTGCTCCAGCAGGGACACCCAGAGCACGGGGCACAGGGCGGCATCCAGGTGGGTTTGGAAGATCTCCAGAGAAGGAGACTCCACAACCTCCCTGGGCAGCCTGTGCCAGGGCTCTGCCACCCTCACAGTGAAGAAGTTCCTCCTCACCTACAGATGGAACTTCCTACGAATGCACCTAAGCCTTATTATGAACATTTGAAGAGGTACTGTCTTTGCTGTCTTGTTTCATAGCACTGTCCATGAGGAGCCATGAGTAACCTCAATTTTAATGATTTGTTTTAGTAATTTCTAAGTAGATTTAAGCTCTTGCTTTACTGCTGTCTACAGGAAGTATGATATTTTGAAGTTTAAATCAAAATTGTAATTATAGTATTTTAGAAACTCTTCCTGGGGCAGTACCCCATTTATCCAGCAGATTGCAATGCTAGCCTAGGCACCGGCAGATTCTGCAGGCATTCGTATTTCCCTCCACAAGGAATTATTTAAAAGGAAATATAGAGGATTGCAGTGTGGGAGAGACACATAACAAATTGCAGCTATAAAAGCTGTGGATTGGAAAGTGAAAAAAAGATATTTCTGGGGCAAACTGATTAAGACTCTTGCAGAGGAGAATGAAAACAGCAATATTTTATTAATGTCTTTATTATCATTCAGAATGAAAATGTGGAGTTAAAACCACTTTCTGGTATATCCCTTCTTGTTGTATAGCTAAAAAAACCCAAAACAACAACAACAACAACAACAAAAAAGAGTAGTCCCTCTACAGACAGGACAGCAGATCCAGGATGAGCTGAAGTTGTATCAAGAGAGTAAACCGGAGATGTTGTTGCCTGGAGAGCAGACATACCCAGCTTGTTCCAAACCCCATATAATGAGCTCAGGTAACAACAGCAGCAGGGGCTGTGCCACAGCAGTCTGTGCTGATGAGAAAAACCGGTGCAGATCCTGGATCCTCACCCAGGCTGCTCATCTGTGCTGCATTCGTGGCAAATACTCTGACGCTGGACTCTTACTCAAGCTCTTACTGCTGGACTGGACGAGCAGCTTGGATCTGCTGCTGCCATTCTGCCTCATTCTAGCTCAGTACTCTTCTAAGGGCGCATCGTTAGGAGATAATGATTTATTAAACAGTAATTAAAGCCATCAGATGCTTTGAAGATAATGTTTGATACAGAGGAAAAAAACAAACAAGCAAAAAAACAACAAAAATGAATAGCAATCTGACTCTGTGTAACTCTTAAGTTTCTCATGTCAGAGAAACAGAGGAGAGAAAAGCTCTGAGTAAAAGTGCAAATGGAAGAAAATTTCTTCACTAGGGTCCTCATCCTACTTTTCAGTTTTCCTATATGGCTTTTAATTATTCAATTTAATGGACAAATATTAATGCAGGATTTTGCTTGATGTACTCCGTAATCATTATATTTCTAATGACCTTGTCCTTACAAAGAGGAGAAGCAGATCTTTTGTTGCAGTAGAAATTTTTTACCTCTGTAACTGTTCGAACAATAAAAACCTATTGAAATGGACAAAATTCTTTTCATTGATGTCTTTGGGACTGGCTTTTTGTTGTCCTGAACACTTCAAAAATTACAAAGGACTTATTTCTAAAAGGTCCACTTCGTTAAATTTGTCAAAAAATGGCAAAATAAGTAGAATATCAAGGTTTCCACAATCACATCTTCATATGAACAAATTTGTTTCAACAAATTGTTGAAACAACTGATTAAAATAATTTTTACAGCATGAAAAAATAACAAGCCCTCAAAACAGAGCTCTTCAAAGCCTTTACTATACCTGTTACTGTATCTTCCATTAAAGATGCCTATATGAAAAGGTACACAAATGTTTCTGTCATCTAGATAGAGGTGTGTATGTGATGAGATTACTATATCTCAGAAGGACTAGTTCTTATAGGAAAGTCTGAGTGCCTTGTAATACCAAAAATATATGGTGATAAATGTAATCTTTTAAAATCTATTTGTTCTCACATTTTCATTTGAGGCCACTAAATAAGCTATTTGGATAGGAAAAGAATAAGTAAAGAAAATGCCTTACATGAAAACCTCAAAAAAAGCCTAGTATAGGTATTACATTGGAATTTCAGCATCTGAAATGTCAAGTATATTGAATTTCACATGACTGAGTGAGACTGCAGGTGAGTAAAGAAACTGCCTTTGGGCAATATTCTTTCTGTTTTCTCAGCTCAGAAATGAAAGACTAATTCAACAACACAGTGATTTTTTTGGATGAATATTTAGTTCAACTTTGCTATTAATAGGTATTTTAATTAATTAATTAATTTAATTAATTAATGGTTAACAATAAATAATTAAATAATTAAATTAATTATGCTCATTATAGTACTGACGTCCACTAGTATACTGTTTCAATCTCCTTAGTGCAAGATTGTATCATAAAATATCTATTTGTATGAAGCACCATTTGTGGTTTGTAGCACATGATGGATCAGATTTACAACAGTAAAGAAACTCTCTACAAGCGTCTAAAGTTCCATAAGGCAAACCTAGCCCTGCCTTTATCTTTAAGCCAAAAAATTCCATGTAGAAACTACTCCTATCTCAATGGCAACAGTGAGAAGATAACCAGAAAGAGACCTTCACACTTAGGAAATGGGCTGCTCTATGACTACTTTCAACAGTGCACACATCAACTTTTGTCATAAAATACTAATTGGGAGATGAAGCCTGCTTCAACTAATCCCTGCTTAGTTTTAATGAAGAATACATAAAAAATGGCTTAAGTACAGGAATTTCTTTGCAAGATGCAGTCACTCATGAAGTTGGTTGCTCAAAGAAGCAACAATCAGTAACTAGAAAGTGTACACAAGTTACACAGATAATCCCACACAACTCTAGTTGAATCTGGAGGAGATTAGGTTAATGTTTCAAATTCATTTTTCTTGCATAAATGAGTTGTTAAATAAATGAAGAATGATTACATGCATGTATTAAATTTGTTGAGGTCTCCTTAGGTGTCAAGATTAGAACATGTGAAGTATGCCTACTTGAAAAATTTAAATCAGCACTTAATTCCATGGCTGTTCTGGTCCATCTTTTAAATGCAACCCAAATATCAGTAAGAAAAATGGTTTTAAAGCAAAGGTCTCTCTTTTTCTTTCTTATTGCAATTCATTTCCAGGATCTGAAACTAACTATAATGCAAATATTTTCTTTATAATTATTTTGAAACATCCTGAGAAATTTAGAAATATTAATAAAATCATTCAAGGAGTCCTAAAAGAGAATTAAGAAACTATGGGATCTTGAAGCCACAGAGTTGGAACTGCCGTATATCCACAGTTTTCCATCTGACCATGAGAAATCTTGCATTG